GGTGTTGCTCTGGTGGTATCGTTGAGAGAAAAAACGTTGGAAGATCCGTGGATGGCGCTGATGGGCATTATTACCATTTCCATGACATGAAGGAGTGGATTGTTCTTTCTTCATTGTACATTTGCCAGTTTAGTGCCAGTAGATTATACCGAAACGATGTCTAAGCTGCCATTCCTTTCCTGCTGCGCAAGTTCCACCTTCATGTCCTAGCTGTTTGCAATGTCCAATACGTACGATCACTCGACCTTCAGTAATGTCCATTTCCGGTGCAGCTATGTTAGGATCGTGGTCTACCCTCTCTCCGACTGCCTTGTTTCCGGAGGTGGAAAATTTAATTTCTTCTTCGGATCTCTGGTTTTGGACATTAATCTTCATGAGGTGGGAGGACTAAACTGCCGCGCCCTTCCATGTATTGCCATCTTCAAGACCTAGTCTCGTCTCCGGCATATGGCTAGAACACGAGAGAAAGGAAACTTGAACATTTGCTATTTCCCACACGCACACCTGCCTCTCTCGCGACCTTTTTGCATCCGATCATCGCGACGTGCTGTAATTGCTTTCATAATCTCTTGCTCTCGTCAAACGGCACGAGATCATATGTGTTAGCCATGGCCACATCACCTTAAAGTTTCTCCATTACAGGTGGAGTGTAAAGATCTCCCTTTGGCAATGCTTCCTTTGCAAGCCCTCTCCTAACATTGAAAACCAATCGATAAAGGTGCACACATGCATGATGGGTATTATATTGTTTATAGAGCAAAAGATACAAAAAACCCTAAACTATGTCTATCGTGACACATTCACCGTAAATTTTTTTTGTGACATCAAAAATCCCAAACTTGTACTTGTATGACACATTTGCCCTCTGTTAAAGTTCTGTCAATGAGAACTGTTAAAAATCTACCTATATGGACGTCGGAAAGCAAACGGTATTGACATGGCTAAGTAACATAAAAACTGTCGTTATTTTGACTGAAAAATCATCTAACAGAACTTTAACGGAATGGAAATGTATCGCATTGGTACAATTTTGGGGTTTTTTATGTCACAAGAAAAAGTTTAGGGTAAATGTGTCACAGTGGGTATAATTTAAAGTTTTTTGTAACTTTTTCCCTTGTTTTTATAAGATATGATTAAAATATTTAATTGATTTTATTTATATAATTATTATGCATAAATAATATGTACTAACATAAAAAGGGAAGTAGGTTCCTATTTTTCAGTCCTTGATATACCCTTTATTAGGGATAATGACACAAATAGTCCTTGAAGTTTGGCTGAATGTACAATTTGGTCCATGAACTTTTAATTTGTTCAATGTAGTCCCTGAACTTTAGCCTAATGTTCAATGTGGTCCCTAAACTTTTGGTATATGTTCAATTTAATCCCTAAACTATATGAAAATGTATAATATAGTCCCTGAATTTGAATTAATGAAATGACTACATTGAACATTTTTATAAAGTTCAGAGACTATATTGAGCATGTACCAAAAGTTCAGGGATCACATTGAACAAATTGAAAGTTCAGGGACCACATTGAACATTGGGTTAAAGTTTAGGGACTACATCAAATAAATTAAAAGTTCAAGGATCAAATTGCATATTGAGTCAAAGTTCAGGGACTGTTTGTGTCATTTTCCCCCCTTTATTAATGATAATGGATATATATATATATATTTTATGTGTGTTATCTATGCGAACTTAATAGTTTTACTATATGGTTCATTTGACTATCTCATCTCGATGGAGATATAATGTATGAATACAACCTAATAAATTATACCATCGTGATATGTATACTGTTGTCGGTAGACTATCTCTATAAACAAGCCAGCCATTAAAATTATGCTTGCTAATATCAATGGTCCAAATCAATTGATACCAGTCCATGGCTGGTTCCTCCTGTCTGAATTCCTTGTATATCTCTTTACAATAGTATGTTTGCCTAGAGATAATAGGTGTTAGAGCAAGTCTTAACTTGAGAATACATCGCCAACTTCAAGCCTTATTGCCCTTTATGTCGAGTTGTATAATGGGAGTACCTCTACAATTAGTGTGATGAATGTCTCCTTTTAATATCTAGCTTATTTTAAAATTATGATAAATTTTAAAATTAATTAATAAATATGTTAATTACTAGACGATATTCTACCTTTGCTAAAACAAGAAGTTTTTTCTGCTATAAAAAAGGCAAGCTTCTGTATTTGCTCTAGTTTTTAGACTTACTCTTACCTGATTGAGATATTAAAAATTATTAACAAATAAAAAAGCCAAACGGATGCTTCCATGGAACAAAGTGCTCTTAATAGGTAAATAAGATGGAAAGTGCCTTTTTCTAGGAAAAATAGTTTGTAAAGAGTATAGGTTTGGGTAAAAAAATCTTGATGTTTGGCAAGAAACCCACAATATACAAATTTAAGCTATTTTTAATCAAAACTCTACATCACTCTCAGCACTTAATATTATCAACACACAAAATTTATCGTTTAGCGGTTATGAGAGCACTCATTCTGTCTTTGATGAAAAAAAAAAACTCTTCAGTCTTTACGTGGCAATTCAAGTTTTTAGACGTAGAGCGAACAAAAAAAGTCAAGGGCTTTGACAAATTTTAGTAAAGCTAACATAAGAAAGTACACTAGAAGTCTTAAAGTTTATGCACCCAATGCAATCGAGTCCGTTTAATGAACAGGACTGTTAGTCGCTTATGGCACTAGGAATTTGGCTGCGTGAGAGCCTTAGATTACATTTCTTAATAATGGTTTTGGATTTGATCAAATATTAACTTAGGTACACTTTTTTATAAAAGATTTAGGACTCGATTAAATCAATTGAAATGTTTGAAACTTGAATTACTTACATAAAGTTTAGAGCTTTTAACTTACTTATCTTGAGATAAACTAAGATATGATAATAATCAGCAGTCCATTTACTCCTCCTCGAATTTCAAAACCATCCCCATGTTCAAAATAGCCCTTGTGCCTTTTCATTGTGTCCATCATTGGTTTCGATTGCTCTACTAGAGTGCTTTGTTGGTGTCGGAATGCTTTATTGAAATTGTCCCTCGTATTGGTTTCTCTCTGTCTCTCTCTGCTAGCTAGGTGTCACATTCTAATGTGGTGTTGGTGTGGTTTATGAGGTACCAAGTAGCCACGAAATCAACAACTTAAGATAAAAATAAAAATATGAGAGAGAATTAAATTACTATGCATTAGGAAAAACCCTTTCTTAGTTAGGTCTCCAACTTTTCTACAAAAGTTTCATGAGATCCCATGTCCGGCTACTTAAACATAAAGAATAACATCATTTTCTTTTATGAAGTATTTGTTTTACATATACACGGCATAATTCGTTTATTTGATGTTAAACGAATAAGGAACTAACCAACCCAAATTCAAATCAAGTTTAATTCAATTGTTGCACCTTCATAACACGAAAATGATTGTTGATCCAATCTTAACCTTCTTAATCAACTTTTCAATTATACTATCTTGGAAAAATGACACAAATGATTCCTGAACTTTGGCTCAATATGCAATGTGGTCATTGAATTGTTAATTTATTCAATGTTGTCCCTGAACTTTTGGTACATGTTCAATTTAGTCCCCAAACTATATGAAAATATTTAATGTCGTCCTTGATCTTGAATTGATGGAAGGACAATATTGAATATTTTCATATAATTTAAGGACTATATTGAACATGTACCAAAAGTCTGAGGACTATATTGAATAAATTAAAAGTTCAGGGACCATATTGAGCATTAGGCAAATATTCAGGGACCACATTGAAGAAATTAAAAGTTCAAGGGTCACATTGCACATTAGGCCAAAGTTCAAGAACTATTTGTGTTATTATCCCTACTATCTTCTTAGGTACAAAAACTATGAACATGACCGTTTGTGCTTAAATATTTCTTGCACACATGGTATGGAAAAATAGAGGATTTCAAGCCCCACCCATTTGAAAGTCTTGACAAGTGAAGCTTTATGTTCATGTCGTCCCATATATTATATTACAAGAGCGTCTCGACTGCTTTTTTTTTTTTTTTAGTATAATCTCACATTGCACTGCAAAAACAAAAAGAAAAAAAGAAAAATCAATCCACAAGCTGGAAGGTTAGGAGAGAAAAAAGATAATGTATAAAACGCCTTCCATTAGATTGATGTTCGATTTGATGTAGAAGAAAAGCAGAACATAACGATTGGGGGACCATGAACACCCCATACCTTTATCTCCCAAATAAAATCAAAAGAAGATCCCCTCTTCACATGGTGGCATGTGGTTCCCTTGGAATGGTTTCAAAGAAAATTTTCATCCAATATATATATTTTTTCTTGGAGCCATTTCCTATATGCTTGAGAGTACTAATTTCCAAGATGATCCAATAATTGCATGAGTATGGCTACAAACATGGAAATCTTGATGACCAATTACAAAACCTGATACTAACATCTTCATTCATGCATTGATCATTGCATACGGTTTTCTAGTTACATCTCTTTTTTAGGTTTTTATTTGCACTTTCCAGATGCTATTTGGAATGTAGGGTTAGCAATTATTGTTGGTGTGTTGTATTCGTATTTCTAATTCAGTCGTATCCCATTTGTATTGACAGAACATGCATTGTAACGTAAGAAAAGATAAATGTTTTACTTATGATAACGTAGTAATTCGTGTCCATGGACAATATTCTTTCATTGAAGGATATTTACTTTATATTTCACAACGTAAATTGGTCATATTTAGAGTTGTGCATCTTACCTAACTTGATGTGTGAGATATGAATATTTAACGTATTGTTATGAAATTAGGGTTGATTCCCTTTTTTTTCTAAATTTTTACTTGATGTAATATCTGATGTGAGTGCACAAAGAAGTATTTCTTTACAAATCTTCTAGTTCCGACGTGAATGGCTTGTTTCTTACCAAAATTAGGCTTAGTATGGTGAGGGAAACTTCCTGCTGCAAAAGGAAATAATGATAGTGAGTACGGGAAGAATTAAAAACTTGTGTACCCAATAAATAAAAATTGTATTTTTATTTTCCAAGAAGATTTTCAGTTCCTTCAAATTTTTCTTTGCTCGGCAGAGCCCAGTCTGACATCTTCTTGCATACCCCACAACGCACTCACTTAAGAAAAAAGCAGGAAGGGGTTGGTTTCGAGGGTAAAATGAACCCTACTTACTGTCTTCTCCTTCTTCCACTCGATAAAGCTGGTTTTCTCTTGCAGATTTGTGCTAGAGTGGTCCATGAAAGCCTTTTGTATGGGCCTCTCTCTCTCTCTCTCTCTCTCTCTCTCTCTCTCTCTCTCTCTCTCTCTCTCTCTCTCTCTCTCTCTCCCTTTCTGCTATATCAAGAGAGAGTGTGTGAGTGTGTGGGCGTGGAACTTTGTGAACAGAAGTTAGAAGATTGAAGGGGATGTGAGATCTGAGGAGGTGAAAGTGCGTGCAGCTTGGAAATTTCAAGTCCTGTCATGCTTTTCCACAGCTTTCTTGAACTTCTTATCTTCCAGTCTTTTGATCTCTCTCTCTCTCTCTCTCTCTCTCTCTCTCTCAAAAAAGATTGAAAAAAACATCCTTAGAAGCTCAAGAAAGCTGTGGGAAAACATGGCAAATTCAGGATTTTTTTTTTCAAGCCATTGTGTTGCAGAGAAGAGAAAACTATCTTGATATTCCTCTACACATGTTGTGAAACTCAGCAGCTTCAGATTCATCTTTATGGTAACACCACTTGTTCTTATCCTCCCTTTTCTGGTTGTTCTTTCTTTTTGGGGAAATGGCATGGTGAATTGTCAGATCTAGTGCACACAACACATCTCAGCATACAATTGCAAATCAAAACCTCCACAATTTTTTGTGATAATTGGGTAATTCGACTTAATTATGCATTCTTCTTTCTTAGAAGTAACCATGGTCGTGACTTGTGGCATAAATTCAACTGAATTATGCATTTTTTTTGTTCCGTGTGCAATGTGGGTTCATCAGTGTTTCTGAGAAAAAGAAGGTGATTTCTGCAACTGATTTACTTCTCTCTTTCTTATAATCTTTATCCACTGCAACACGTTTCAGGCCATGCATGGAAAAGGGCCGTATTTTCCTAAAACAAAAAGAAACACCATAATCTCCCTTGTCGTCAGTGAAATTTATGAAAAACATTTCCATTATATCCTGCAAAAAACCAAACAAATTCTGATCACTCGATCAAAATGGTGAAAACGGATTGGTGTTGCAGGGGAAGATTCCTTCATCTCCAACACCAGTAATCATTAATTTATAATGAACGGTTCTTCCTGTTGCCATCCCTAGTTGTCTTACTACATCGTTTCCTATATTTCCGTGAAAAAAAGGTTAAACTTTGTCACCATGTGACCTCAAGATTTTACCCACATAAACCCACACACACACACACACACACTCTCTCTCTCTCTCTCTCTCTCTCTCTCTCTCTCTCTCTCTCTCTCTCTCTCTCTCTCTCTCTCCAGGATATTGTCCATGCTACACTCACCTAAAATACCAGTTCAATCACATTCCAAAAAACCATAAAACTTGTGGAATAATACGTATTGTGATTGGCTTTTGTCAACCACCTCATCTGTAGAATCCGTCCGTAGGTGTATAGTTTTTTACCCTACCTAGTTTGACTCTTTCAGAATCTTCCTCTTTTGCACAGTGCTTTTAAAGGTATACTGCAATCTTAGTAAAAAAAAATAGCCAAGTACCAATTAACTCTTGCATTTTCCCACCTGCTAAATTGAATTGAGGATCTTTTAACTGCCCATTACAGGTTGAACATCACTTCATTGGATCTGAATTCATGAACCCATCAAGAGAAAAGTTGAAGAACGTAGAAGAAATGTCAGGACAAAGCACGTTTTCTCTCTCACACATTCACCATACGTGTTTTAGTTGGAGAGAGAGAGAGAGAGAGCAGGTAAGGATCTGTTGCAATTCTGACATGTTTCGCTTTTCATATTAGTTATTAATAGTTTCTGCGAGTGATTTTTTTTCCCAGACTTGTCAAGTTGGAATGGTTGTTGGGTTGAATCGCGCCGGATGCTCTCAGCACGTATGTTTTCTTGCTCCAGATTCAGTGCATCTCTGCAGAGGTAATCCTAGTTTTCAGATTCAATCAATGTTTAAAACATAGTATAGTTCTATTTTTATTTTTATTTCATTTTTCAAACATGAAAAGAGTTGAAAAAAACCCATCAGGTGATTTTAATATTCGAATTTGAAAACTATACTGAAATGCAATTTTCAGCTATATTTTTGCTCAATCATGGTAAACCACACAGGCCATAGATATACATTTTCAAGAAGCTTCCATCTCTTGGCCGTAAACAAGAAGCTTTCAATACTTAAATGGGTTCAAATGGTTTTCATCACACCATGAAGCTTGCAAATATTTCTAGTTTAATGCAATTGAGATGTTTTCCAGTCCACATTTATATATGCAGCCTAGAGAATTATGAGATGAAAAGATGGCTTTTGGTTCTCCAACTTCTCTATAGTGAACAGATTTGAGACCGTTGTGACCAGCATTTGCGAAAATCTCATTGTGCATACATGCTGTGTCAATATAGTTCCATCTCCCGCACATATATAGCTCAGAATAGTAATTAGTTTTGTGGCAAGTATTCATTTCCTAGTTGTGACTATGATTATCGTTAGTATGTATGATACTACATGTACTCTTGACTTTCGACAGCATTTTAGTAGAAGTGGGTGGATGGGCTCTTTGAATAAGCTCAGTTACATTGTACTTGAGATTTGATGTGGGAGGAAAAAAGGATCAATTCACCAGAAGGCCATCCTCTCCGGTCACTAAGTCTAAAATCAAATCTAGAGGAAAACAAAGTTTTCAATACGCAATGTAGTAACTCTGCCAATATCATACCTAAACATAGTCCTATGAACAAGTATTTCATTGTGGCAAATGGAAATACTTGGAGACATTATATCATATAGATTGGACCTTATCGAAGATATATTCTTAATTATTAACAGAAGATGACAACAAACAGATGATATATGTGTAGCTGATCTCAGTTAGTTTGGAAGAGGCTCAAATGTTGCTCTTATTGTCATTGTATCTAATAGACCTGAATTATACTGGCGAATGAAGGGAGATGACAAGGAGTTGGGAGTCCTAAAAATGACTGAAAAACTAGCAGCCAGGTTCCGCAGCCGAATAAGAGCAACAGTAACCCAAACTGAGTATAGGAATAAAATGAGAAGCTATCGGTTCAGAAATGTTGTCGTCGCCGGAGAAAAAGAGACACGGCACGTACCTCACTTTAATTTTTTGGGGGACGAAGTAGTGCACCCTGTTACAAGTGGGCCTAGGAGTTCTTGGGGACTTAAAAGTTGTAGTATCCGATCCATTTCAGTTTTATCATCACTGAGGCATCTTGTGTGCAGTTGTTCAGAAGACACAAACATTTGAATGCTAATATTTGTACTGAACAGCTGCACGACAATATCAGAGTTCGCCTCAAGCTAAATCACAAAAACTAGTTCCATGCATGATTGGGTTAAAAAGGAAGCAGATGCGGTGTAATTCATAACCTAGACTTCTCACCATGCAAACCTTTGCTTACAAGAAAATGAATTGAGGGAGTGCTACGCTTCACCAGACATGCCTACTGCAAGCGTTTAATAGGACTCTTGTGTACTAAAAGAAAATCTCTCTCTCTCTCTCTCTCTCTCTCTCTCTCTCTCTCTCTCTCTCTCTCTCTCTCTCTCTCTCTCTCTCTCTCTCTCTCTCTCAGAGGCATGCACGCATGATGACAATGATAAATACTACAACAAAACTATCAACAACAATGTTGCGACGACCATGCCCCTGTAATCTAAAGTTTCAAGAGAATATAAAACCTAGTTAACTTTCATGGAAACCATGTCACACATTATTTTGTAGCCTCAAGGTCCATTTCTAGACTCATAGTGTAGATTCCATTGTACAGAACAAACCATAGATCGGCAGAAAATACGGCTACATAGATACTTTTACCAACCAATTAAACCAACCTAGTTTCACATATTATTGCAATCTATGTACGGGTATAACTTTAGCACTTCTACTACATACCACCAAATGGGAGTAACATAGCTACATTCATCATGTGGATATATTTTCCAAATTGAATTGTCTTTATTTGTTAGCTCTTGGACAACTCCATAAGAGATAAATATGCTTTTGCCAGAGCAACCAGTAAGGGGCAGTCTTTATAAGAAGAAGTTTGCGCCATAGAAACTTCTGAATCCCAATGTTGTATCTCATCATTTCAAATGTAGATTATCTTTTTGACTTCCTTAATCTTTTCAAATGAAAGGAAAATGTGGTAAATGGTTCTATTATTTTTCTTGGAGTCACCGAGAAGGTAACAAGGAATGGAAAGTTATAATTAAGTCACTAAGCTCAAACTTTTAAGACTCATTCATGATTAAATATTTCCTGGATTCGTTGTAATAGATTCATTATTGGTCAAGTTGTTCTAATAGATTAAGTCCATCATATTTTAAGGAACGGTGAAAATGTTGCATATATTGTGTTTTCTGGCTTATGCTTTTAATAGCTATTTGGCATCTACATCGGACTTCATCCAGACAACGCAGATCCAATATGTTTCTCTTTCATCATATTTGGTTTTCCTGCCGCACCAACGATAGAATGAATCTACACAAATTATATTCTTTGGTAAATACATCTAATTATACTTGTTTGTTCGATTTCACTGCAGACTTTTTTAAAATTTAGTCGAAATTCATAATAGTCACCCTCTTGGTTCGAGGTAACTAAAAATAGTAAAAGCGTCACAGTCGTAGACATTTCAATAAACAAAAGCCCCTGATATGCTTGCAATACATGTGTAAAGAATTGTGGCATTTCAAAACAGACTGCGACTTAAGATTAGCTAAACAATTAAACTCCCATCTGAACAAATCTTGACCTAAATATTCCAAGATATGATTTCGGGCAGGGTGATTAATCAGACATGGTCAATGAGATAAAACTAATGAATTCAGGGAGCAAAAAAGTGAAACTGAAATTGATCTGCTTCGTGACGAAAACCAGAAAGGTAAAATGGGGATATCATCTCGCTCCACATTGGCAAGACCATGCACGGCTCAACCATTTCAAATGGCAAGGAACTTCATTAAAATTCAAAAGAATTTGGCCACTTTCATCTTCACATAACTACACAGAACAACAACCATAAAGGAGACATCTTTAATTTTTTTTTTTTTTTGGATAGTCAATCATAAAAGAGTAATCTGTGAAATGCAATTACAGCATTCATCCTCATCATTAGAAAGATTGATGAGCTTTCCATGAACTCAAAAGCAAACAAATTTTGGCAGGTGAAGTAGATACGCGAAGTTTCGACCAAAAAAATTAAGTAGATACGTGAAGTTATATGACAAACACAAGTGACTTGTCTTGAAACATTATCCCACTTACAATCACAAAACAATCGGAAAAAAAATTACATGAACCGGGGCATACGCCATGAACCCCACCTGTATTTAAGGTGGATCACTAGATGGAGCGTTCCATATTTCTTATGCTGTAATTTCCAAACCACGTCCATTTGTCCAAAAAAGATTAAAAAAAAAAATCAAGAAAAAATGGTACAGTTCACTGTGTGGATTCGGCCTCAATAGGCTAAAATAAGAGAAGACATAAAGTATCTCCATTTTCTTTTGTTTTTTGGGTCAGAGAAGTATCTCCATTGACTCGGCGGAAATTTGTGAAGGAACACAAGGTGTGGTCATTTCAAAAAGCATGTCTAAAACTGAAAGCTCCATTACATCACAGCTTGTAACAGCTCATTTTGGTCCGTGACAAAGTCTTCGGCCAAATAGCAGCCCCTCAAGTAATGTAGCTCTTGGACCCAAAAAAAAAAGTTATGTAGCTCAACTTTTCACAGTATCTATACGACCTTTTTAGTTATAGCGTTTCGGGTAGTAGTACTCTCGTTTTATGCAATCTAAGAATCAAATGCAATATTAGGACCCCATTTTTGTTTTGCAGTCACATGCAAATGGCAACGTGTTGTGTGTATGTTGTTCTCCGGAGCAATGTTTCGATTGAGGGAGCAGTTTTGAAGATTATTAAGGATGGTGTGATCAAGGGGCATACTTGGTTTAAGAGGAAAAACACAGGATATGACATTTTTCAACTGTCAAGGGACATTTTCTTTGACTATTGATTTTTTTAATTTTCCCTATAGCTTTTTGGATTATGAAATGGAAACCCTAACTTACATATTTTATTACTTAATCAATATCAGAGGTTTCTCCCACAAATTTAGTTGAAGCTTGAAAGCGATTCACAAGGTATAGAGGCTTAATTCAAAGCTTAAACTTGGTGTGGATGGAGCTCCAAAAAAATAGAAATGAAACAAGTAAAATAAGCATTATAATTAGGACTCCAGAACTATGCAAGGCAAAGAATCATTACAAAAAAAAAATTAAGAAAGGGAAAACGAGCTTAGTAAATCCAATACAAACAGAAACACACACATGACAGCAGTTCAAAAATAGAAAATATGCAAAACTAATAGCACATGTCATAATTCAATTATAAGCACACATTTTACAGAGTGAATTAATATCAATCACAGAAAAGACTGATCATGATGGAATAATCTGGCAATCAAAGTGGTGACAGGCCAATACAGTAAACAGGCAAACAGATCAGAAGCATGAATTGCTTACAGATTTTGACTGATGGCCATGGACTGATGAGTCATTTAACTAGTTTGTCTTTCCCACAGTGCCTGCACTTAAGAAACAGTTTCACAAAAAATAATACAAATCAGATAATTAAAGAAAAAGGAGCCATCATAAAACGAAATCTGGCTATTTGACCAGATCTATGCATGGTTTTCATGGATCCCACATTATTGCTCACCTCGAAAAATGACGGATCCACAGAATGAACGTCCATTACATTTGTGAAACAAATAAATTTCATCACCACCCATTAAAAATCACATCTTCATGTGAATGAGATATGAAAATGATCTGACCAACATAAAAAAGTGCTTACTAGCGCGAGAAAAGACTTTGACAGGGAGCTTCACTGAACATACTGACCGTAATCCATGAAGTTGCAGATGCAAAACAAAAGCATGTGTAACCGCACAAAAAAAATCTCAAGAAATCACACAGATCCTGCACAAGAACATCTGTGCCTTTTTTTCTTCTTGACCCTCTCTGCATCTTCCCACAGCTTTATTGAACCGCACAAGAAGAAGAGGACAAGAAAAAAGAAAAAAGAGAAGATGGGTCTCCTCTAATTCTCCTCACATCTCTCCAATTATAACCATGCAGTTCAAGAAAGCTGTGGAAGAACACAAACAGGGCCATTCCACGACAAACCCATCAAGGCTCCAAGAGAGAGAAGAAAAAAGAGAAGGAGAAGAGATTCTTCTGAACCGAACCCCATCAATCAAAAGAGAGCAACAGAAAGTGTCTGGTCGAAAAGAAAGTGAATAGGCAAAAGGAGAGGCAGAGAAAGAGAGAGGAGAGAGAGGATGGAGTTGGAAGAGAAGGATGATCTTGGGATGGTATTTATAGTGGGTGGGGATTTGCCAATCCCTAGAAGCATATTGGGCCTGATGATGATCTGATCAGATTACCACTGCTGCCACAGGAACAAGAACATCTCAACCCCACCTTTTCTTCTCATCTTTCCCTGCAATTAAAGAAAATCTGACTCCGGCTTAACCCTAGAG